CTCGATGAGCCCAGGCCACCAGCAGGCTCAACAGGGCGGTCACCCGCCTCTAGGTGAAGGAGTTGCTAGAGTTGAGCTTGCGGTCAGGTGTGCAGCTCGGGTGTTGGGCGCAGCTAACGTTCGGATTTCTGGCATGGTGGGCCCACAAAGGGAAGGGGCATCCTGAGCCAAGAGCCAGCAGCCAGAAAGGAGCAGCTCCTCTTGGCAACATTGGCTGGTGGCGGTTAGAAGTGTTTGTGAAACTGTTCCCTAATTACACCTCTGCAAAGCTGTAAATACAAGAAATGTTTTATTTTTAAATTAGAAAGTTGGCGATTGGTCGCATGCATGTTAACTATTGTCCTAGACTTTATTACCCTGTTTAAAGTTATTATTCCTTGTATTGTATCTGATTGTAGACTTTTCTAGAAATGTTATCTTCACACTCCTTTCTCCGTTTTTTTTTTTTACTAATTCCTTTATAATAACCTGCAATTGAGGTTTTACTACATAATAGCTCAAATGAGTGTAAACTATCCATGCAGCATTTACTAATTTCCTGTTTTCCTTTAACTCTTTGAAAGCTCTGTCACTGCCCAGGCCATTGGTGCTGCTGGAGGCATGTCTGAACTGTGCTGAGTGTGGTGCAGGGAGGTAGCTCTGCTGCCCAGCATGACCTGTCCTGGTGCGGAGATACTGTCTGTCTCCATGAATTATGACTGAATGGCCTTGTAGGTCTGATTTACCCAAGAGGTAAACAAACATGATTGCTCCAGAGCTCTCATGGCAATTGATTTTTCCCTTGGGGAGAGGGGAACCCACACAGTAACCTGTTGTAAAAAACATACTGCCTGTATCTGTCCCCATTTTATGTTTGGGATTTTTTTGAGGACCTAGCAGAACTAGGTGCTGGTAGTGGTTATCGTTCCTGGAAACAGTAGTAACACTCAAATTCCTTGAGTTTATATGTCCCAAACGGGTGATTCTCTTCATAACAACTTTCTGTAGGCATTAAGTACACCCTCTTTGAGTGAAAGAGTCTATTTCTAATGTGTTTAAACATCAGTTTTGCTGGTAGAAAAGTAGGTTGTTTCTCTTGCCTGTGGTCTCGCCAAGTTCAGTGTGACTGCTTGCATGTCTAAAGTGGGCAGCAGAGAAATGTGTCTCCATAGCACACACCTCTCTTCCATTTCACCCTGTTTCTAGATGCACCCGTGAGCTCTGTGGCTCTCCGGAAATCTGGGGATTACGTCATCACCCTGGGAACCAGGTTTGCTGCTTTGAAATGGAAAGAGCAGCTGGTAACCACCATTACTCACGTGGACAAGGATAAACCAAACAACCGATTCAATGATGGGAAAGTGGATCCTGCTGGGAGGTATTTCGCAGGTATGCTGCAGGCATTTCCTTCCTTCTGCTGCTCCGGTGGGTTTTGGTGACAAGATGCAGCGATCAGTTGCAGATGCTGCAAGCCCATAGTTAAATGGTGGGGATTTCTTTTTTTGTTGTCTTCAGCAGAGTTTGATTGCATTTACAAACGACCTGGACACCATCTAATCAGGACTATTTTTTTTTAAAACAGGCTCACTATTCAGAGCATGCCTAGTTTAAGACTTGCCTCCTCCCTATTGGCACGCTTGTTTTGAATGCTGCCATAGAAAGTACTTTTCCAGCAGGAAATTTATGATATTGTGGGATTTGTTCTTCATAAATCAGGATTTATAGATGGTATTTCTAAAGACTATGGGACTGTTCAGCCTGGAGAAGAGAAGGCTCATGGGGATCTTACCTGTGTGTGTGAGTACCTGATGGGGGACGAGCAAAGAGGACAGAACCAGGCTGTGCTCAGTGGTGCCCACTGACAGGACCAGAAGCAACGGGCACAAACTGAAATTCAGGAAGTTCTGTTTAAACATAAGAAAGGGCCTTTACTGGGGAAGACCAAATGGTGGAACAGGTTCAGAAAGGCTGTGGAGTCTCCTTCATCTGTGGAGATCCTCAAGACACAAGGCTCCCCTGAGCAACCTGAGGTGACTGACCCCGCTCTGAGCAGGGGCTGGGCCTGGATGATCTCCAGAGATGCCCTCCAGCCTCAAGCCATACTGTGATCCTGTCCTCCTGGTTTTTAAAACACCATTCTGTGCATCTGCCCTGCAGTTGGGTCCCCAGGCTTACCTTCACTTGTTTTTATCCTGCTGCCCAAGAGTCAGTCTCAGCTGCCCAGCTTTGAGCCACAATGATGAGACTTGTTTTTGAAAAGGATTTAATAAGGCTTGTTCTGAAGGAGGAGGACATTTTTTTCCAGTCTCTCTGCTGTACAAGACATTAAGATTTGTGGGAAGTTAAATGCTGACCACACCTTTTTTAACATTTGAATGGCTGAATAAAACGTTTAGCAGAAATCTCACGCTGCACACCATTTCTGCCACAGTTCAACAAAAAGCCCAAAGGCTGTGTTTTGTCATCTTGGGCTGAAAGCAAGCACTTTCGAAATCTACCTTTCTCTTTTGCTTTTAACTTGGTTTCTTCCCTGAATTTCTCAAGCCCCCACACTGCTCCCTTCTATGTCGGCAGCGCATCGTAGCGAGGGGCTGCCGCCAGACCCAGGGGAGAGCCCCTTTGCTCTGAACCTGCTTTCTCCCCTTTGGCTCTGCGCAGGTACAATGGCTGAGGAGATTCGACCCGCCGTGCTGGAAAGACACCAGGGCTCTCTGTATACACTCTTACCCGACCTCTCAGTGGTGAAGCACTTTGATCAGGTGGACATTTCCAATGGGCTGGACTGGTCGCTGGATCACAAAACCTTCTTTTACATTGACAGCTTGTCCTACTCAGTGGATGCCTTTGATTATGACCTCCAAACTGGAAAAATTGGTATGAATTGTTGGATTCTAAAATAATCGTTTGTGCCTAAAGATTGTGGTGTTTGTTTCCGTTCTGGTTATTACGCAGAGATGATGGGAGCTTTGGGAGTGCTTCTTCAGAAACCTCTTTAGAACAGAACAACAGAAGCCATATTAACATTCATCTGCGCCTGTGCAGGCTCCCAGCTCAAACTAGTCGGAGGCTGTTGGTAATATTCTGAAGTATTTAAATTGTGTGGCGGAGTTTGAGTAATAATCTGGACTCCTGTTCCTAAACACAACGCCTATCTGATCTTCCTGCGTAAATAGGGCTAAGTGTTTCTTGTATGGCTAGATTTCTGTGGCTGCGTGGTTCTTATTCCTGACAGCATAGGCAAAGTAACAGAAAGCTTGTAGTCTTGTGCAAAATCTCTCCGAGCTTCTCAAGGCTGGTTTTTCGTTTTTTAAAATATAAGCTCTTAAATGAAGGTTCTGCAGACAGAGCTAAGCAACAACTGGAAAGCAGTAACCCAAAACTTCTTCCTTCATCTATTTAAAACAAAACAACCAAAACAACCCCTTAAGGGCTTCTACAAGCTTGAGCAAAAGAAAAATTCCAGCGTCTTGGAATAATACTTTGCTTTTGAGTACGTGGACTGCAGTATTTTGCTTTAAAAGAATCCTGTCAATTTGATACTTAGTTTTAAAACTGTGAATTTAGTCATTTTAGCTGTAGCATCTTGTCCCAACATCTCTCTGCTATGGTTTACAGTTGAATTTTTCTTTAGGAAATGGGGTGGTTCTCCTCTCTCTCTTACTCGCTCTCTTTCTGTGGGCAATCTGACAATCCCCAGGAGCACAAAGGAAACTCATTAAAAATATTGCTACATATGAGAAGCATTGAAGCTGTTGGAGCATAAAATAAACAATGTTGGAAAGTTGGTTTTCATTTTCGTTAATAACAGTGGATAAAAGTTCAGATAGAATTGTTTGGTTTTGGGTTGACAGTATGCCTTTGAAGTTGATGCTTTTCCTAACTCTGTGTTTATATAAACTTTCAGTTTATACATCTGAAGGTCGGTTTTGTGTTGGAACAGTGATTATTGGCACGTTCCAGCAATCTGTTTGAAAAGTCTCCAGTTCTCTCTGATTGGAAGCGACCCAAACTGCTTTTAGAACAAGTAATTAATTTTCTGAAAATATATAACATTAATTTGTTCAGTTATTAATTTAATATTGTAAGTAGGGAGCATGAGTGGTGCACTGGAAAAGGACACCAGAGAAAAGATTATACTTTCAGTGGGCAGAAACTGATCCACAGGCTTTCATGCTGAGAAACAGCTGTCTCGGGAAACAAAGAGGGCAGCAGGCACGATCGATTTCTTCAATCTGAAAAAAACCTCAGGACTTGAGCACAGCCTTTGAAAATAATAGTACAAATAACTCTTCTGGGCTGTGCCTGATAAAAATTTTAACAACTGTCTCACGCGGTTTTGTTGGGTCTTTTCTGCCCTGCAGGCAACCGTAGGAGTATATACAAACTGGAAAAAGAGGAGAGCATTCCTGATGGGATGTGCATTGATACAGAAGGCAAACTCTGGGTAGCTTGTTACAATGGTGGGAGAGTGATTCGTCTTGACCCTGAGACAGGTAAGTTCTTGAAAAGGGTGGATTGGAGTTCTGTGGGTTTTTTTTTTTAAAAAAAGAAGAAACAAAAGCAAAAACTGAGAGGTTTTTTTTCCCGTTACAGAAATCATTTATCTGCTCTTTTTAAAACAGTAATTTATTTTTTTTAATTATACATCCCTGCTCTCAAATTTGGCTTTGTAAGTAAGTCTCCTTTGTTCCCAGCCTCTGTTGTGTTGGAAAAGGTAAAGTTGCTGAGGAGATTACCATTATACTTGTGAATTGTTTGAGTTAGCATCCTCCAAAATTAAGATCAGTGTTTACCTCATTGATAAATTATGTGGAATAAAATGAGTAAGCCATGAAATAGCAAAGATGATTTAAGCCACTTTTTTCTCTTGTTTCTTCAGCATCGTGTGTTATTTTGGGCAGCCTACTGAGGTTAATACAAGTCCCACATGACACTGATGCCAGCAACGTTGTTTTTTATTGTTGAAAATCACTTACATGATAAATTTTGCAGTTGAAATAATAAAAAAAATATTTAATGAATTCCACCGCATTTTATCATTCCCCAAGTAACATCTTGGGTGTGCCCATTGTCTGAGCCTGTCGTCATTGGTACTCTCATTTAGACTTTGGTGGTCTGCCAGGCGTGATTTAGTCTGGGTAAGAAAAGCACTTCAGGGAGACTGAACCACCCTGTCTGCAAGGGGCCACTGGGGAGAATGGGAGCAGGATTTTGACAGATGCCAGACGGCACAGGTTTGCCTAATACAGCACAGGAGCAACTGCACTGGGTTGCCTCTGGGGTCACTTGAACCCAGGTCCAGCCCTAACAGGAGTCTCGGGGGTTTGTGGTGCTGCAGATTTAGGGATGCTGGCGTCCCTTTGGTGCGTGCCTCCCCTGCGGTGCTCGGCACGCCCTGCTGCACACGTGCACCAGGCGGGTCAGGCTGCAGCCTCTCTTCGGACTCTGCTGGAACCTCTTACTTGAGGCTCAGGCTGTGCTTTTCCCCTCGGCTTTTGATTTGTACCCATCTAAAGGTGAGTACAAAGAGAGTCTGGCCAACCTGCGGGACTTCCTCCTGTCCTGTGGAGGAAGCGCCAGCTGAGAGATCCCAGCAGCTCTGCGACCTGTTTCTGGTCCCATGCCCTCTCCTTTTGGTGGGCAGAGCACTGCTTGGTGACCTCCACCAGCCCTTTGAATAACCTCCTGGAGCACTGGACTCTGCCATTTTTCCTCTCTGGTTCACTGTTTCTACCTTTTTCCTCCCTGGCCTTCACCTTCATCCTTTTTTGGCTTGTTTTCCATTTTGGAGACCTTTTCTTAAGGGAAAGCTAAAGGGAATTAGTGTCTATAAGCAGATGCATAGGGCGACTAAGAATATTGACAGCAGAGTACGTACCCCTAATGCACTCCCAGTCTCCTAACGATGCTGAGATCAGCATCTTTCAGACCGGGATGTGATTTCAATGTATCAGTAGGTGCCAGTGGATCTCTTTTCTGTGAACCTGTTCTGTCTCCCCTCACCCATGTAAAACTCCCAGCACCCGCAGCGAACAGCAGCGAGAAGTTTCTCAGGTTAGGTGTCCATGTCCAAAAGAGACACCTTCTTTGTGAATAGCTCGTGCTTCTCTGCCTTCTCTGCACTATCATTTGAAAGTAATACCTAAAATCTGCAATTTGCTGAGTTCTGAGTGAATTGTAACTGTTGAGGGCGATAACCCAGACAGGTTTGAAGAGAACTCCATGAACGCCTCTCTTCTAGTGTACAGTAGCTGTCGAGTGTGGCTTGAATGACTGTCAGCCAGTTGCAGATACATCTGCTGAAGCTCATCTGAGGCACGTGAGGGATTTTTGGGTTTCACTGATAGCAAAGGTTGGACTGCGTTTTTAGGGGAGTGGGCGAGGAAACTTGTTTGTTTGGCATCTGTTCTAAGTGAAGCTTTTGAGGTTCAGGGTGAGGCAGCTTTTCAGCTTCTTTAGCCTAGATAGCTGCTGCCTTTAGATTCAGGTTGTGCTACAGGGAAAGGCTGTGATGACTGATCCCACTGGGTTTGCAAAGGGCTCGAAAGGGATGTCTAACTTGTGTGTTGCCAAGTCTTGTCATACCTTCCAGTCACTTATTGACCTGCAATCATGTCTTTTAATTAGGAATTAAATATTTTACAGTTTTTCCTGATCAATGTATTTTTATATCCTTTGTATAGGGTCTACAAGATTTGCTAAGTTTCTCTCTTCTGTAGATAGCAAGCATAGATGAATACTTCAGAATACTTTGGAGCATCCGCGTGCAGATTTTCTTGCATTTCCAGGAAGACATTGCTCATCTTGGAGCTTTGTAAACACTATCTTCCGGGCTGTTATCTTGTGAAACAACCCTGCAAGTACAGTGCATGTTTTTTTCCCTTTGAATGCCTTTCCCACTCATTTTCTCCCAGACTTGGTGTCAGACAATTTCTAGGGTGGCCTCTGGAGCATTTTATAAGCCACCATGTAACCCATGTAGCCACGTAATCCTTCCACTGCCGCCTGACTGGATAACCACAAAGTGCTGCTAGAGCAAGTTGGCAGGAGCATTGTCTTGGGACTCGTAATGGTCCTTGTCACTCCCAGGCAACAGGCAGGACTACTTCTCTCCGGTTTTCTAGATATTTTGAAAAATCTGCTCTTCTCAGGGGGAAAAAAGCAGTTAACCAGACATGCAGATAATCTGAACGCTGTTACACTGGGTTTGATTTTTATTTGGTTTACTTTGATTTTTACTTTGGCTATTGTGGGTCAAAATGTGTGCCAAATAAGCTTATGCAGCATCAGGAATCCCGGAGCGCTCAGACTTTCCAGGCTGTTACATGAAAGAGGCTCTTTCACCACTGCACACTTGCTATTTTCTTCTATTTATTTTGGGATTAAAAGAGAGTTTAAAAGTATCCAGCCCTTGTGTCAGAGTTGTTGGTGAAGCAAAGACGATTCTGCTCATCCCTCTCAGTCCTGTATTCTGGATGTACTGGTCGCATCCATACTAGCAAGTAAAATGGATCAGGCGGCATCCTTTAGTCCTGCGCCGTATGGGATATCATAGCTTATTTTGCTCAGCCAGGCTGTCTTCCACACCAAAACAGAGCCCAGACTGTCCCTGGGGAGCAGTGTACCCAGCTAGGTGGGCCACAGTTGTGTCAGGACTGCACCAACGGCCTAATAATGTGGCTCTGCTTTTGCCTGTGCTTACGACCCGCTCGGTGTTGTGGGGCAGGTGAAGCCGTTCGGTCTGTGCGTTTGTCGGTGCGTTGCAGTGCTGCTACGTCATCGCAAGGGACCAAGGCACAGCTTGTTGGGTGAGGCAAAAGGTTTTAGCGGCAGGTGCTTGCTTTGATAAACACCTTTTGGGAAATGGTGCCCTCCTCTGAAGTTGACCAAAAACTTCTTGTAGGTGTTAAGTGGGCCAAACTTTCCACTTTTTCTTTCTCCTTGTAGGGTTCCCGACATCGAAGTTTCTCTCCTGCTATTTCAACACATCGCTAAACAGTTAGTTACTGTAAGGGGACCAAGCCCTTTACACAGGCAGCTGGGGGCGCCAGGGCAATGACATGTTTTTTTAAGGAGAGTCATGTGCATATTTCTAGAAGAGAAACTCAATTGTAGGTAAATAAAATAGGTGTGATGGGTATAAGCACTTAATGCCCAGAATTGGGAGGAATTTTACAAAAATCTGCTGTAAGGTGTCTCGACAGCCTTCTGGTCAAGGTTGGAGGCAACCTGTTTACTACTGTCATTAGGACGGTGGCTGTTTGTTGGTATAATAAATGCATAATATTATTTACAGTAGCGCTAGTTCCTTGTAAGCTTCAGCCATGTCCCATGAGCCCTAATTTCTGCAAGCTTGATTTGAAAGGCTGTTGAAATTTCAGGAAAAACTTCTAGGAATTAATCTTCCTTGACTGCAGGCAGTAGAGGTGTAGGACGAGGTATGCCTCGGTAGAGCTGCTTGAGGTCCGCTCGCTCCAGGCCTCCTTTGTAGTTAAAAGGAGAAAAGTCAGCAGGTTTAGGGCGTGATTCATTTGACTCATTTTTAGGGAGGAATTACATCCCATTTCCATTGCCTGCATGGGCAGCCTGGATGATGAGCTCGCATACGGATGTCTGTGCTGTGGATGTTAGCATTTAATTAAGGGGATGGGCTGGGGTTGGGGCTGCGATGTGTTGGGATAACCGAGACTGAAGCTTGTCAAATGAGACGTCGTCAGCAACGCGGTTTGCCGAAGTCTGGTTTCTCCCTGTCACGGTGCTCATCAGTGTGCTGAAACTCAGCATGGGACCTCCCCCTGCCCTGGTACCTGCTTTTGTGGAACACCTGGCTCCACGCCGGTTATTTGCAATAATTTGTTTAAATTTCTTGTCGTAAGTAGGCGAACAGGAAACGGCATGCATGTCTTTCTGCAGGAAAAAGACTCCAGACGGTCAAACTTCCTGTTGACAAGACAACTTCGTGCTGTTTCGGAGGGAAGGATTATTCAGAAATGTATGTGACTTCTGCCAGTGACGGGATGGATAAAGAGTGGCTCTCACGGCAACCGCAGGCTGGCGGGATTTTCAAGGTGAATGATACTTTTTCCTGTTGTTTTAGAAGGCCATTTTTTCCCTCCTGCGTTTTTCAGGTAGCAAACCAGCTGGAGTGGTGGGAAGCAGGAAAAGGGTAGTTGTTAGAACGTCAGTCGTGTATGTTAAGCTACTGTTCGTATTTGATTTCTGTTGCAGGATGAGAAAAATGCATTTAGGGATTTGAAAATACTTTGGGGTTTAAGATTTGTAACGATGCTGATACTGCAAATTTTCCGTGCCATCACCCCTTTCTACTTCTCCCCCTCCCAGCACAGTTCAAGTTTTTCTATTTATTATGGAATGAATGTGTAAATACTTCTGTGTTGTAGTCACTGGCAGATAAACCATCTGCTTTTGTTTACTTTCTAGTTAGTTATAACTAAATTATCTCTTTAAAAATTTGTCACGTTGAGGTTTGTTTTAAAGCCCTGCTCGTGCGTGTGGATGCATACGGAAGGTTAGTTACGTTGCGGACTGCAGAATTAAGGCTCAGTAGTGTCTGAGAAGGGGCTTTTGGGGAAGGGACTCTGGCCTGCCGTGACTGAGCTTTAGAGAAAGAGCATAGGCTGAAGCTCCTGGCTGTGAGGAGCTGCTGTGAGGATGCCAAGTTTGGAGGACATGGTCCTTTTCTAAATTAAAGCATGTCTACTTGTGAAAGAAAAGCAAGTGTTTGATAGTGGTGAATAATTGCACTAATTTTTTTTTTCTCTCTCTTTTGATAGATAACAGGGCTAGGGGTGAAAGGAGTCCCACCGTATCCATTTGCAGGTTAAATATACATTCTTCAGAATGGATTAGAGAGGACTGATGCAAGCAAGACAAGTGGAAAGGTCTTATTCTGGTGTTCAGCATCTTTTGCTTTGAAACCATGACAGTTATAATACCTCATCAGGAAAGGATGAAAAACTACTGAAATACATGGAATATTTTAAAACTGATCTTTTTTTCCCCTTTAAACTCTGTTGCTTTGAATATCTGATCGTGCTTTTTCTGCCATGCTAAAAAGATTCTCACCCTAACAAACTACTGAATATTGTAACTTTCTTTTATGATTAAATAATGTTTTAATGTATTTTCTTTTTATTGTTTATTCTCCCATTTGCGACTTACACTGTATTGATTTATTGATTCACCTACTTGTACTGTCTCTTTTACGTATTTTCAAAGTTCCTCATAAAATATCCATTTGTGGTCTTACCGCTGCTTTAACTGGAGCTTCATTTGTCCCATGATGTTCTCAACAACCGAAACATGAATACCTATTACTGTGCCTCTGCAGCTTCCTTTTTACATTACGTTTTTAAGGCCTCGGTGGTTGTGCTTAAATTAACTCCATCGGCCGGAGCGGATCATCATTTCTCCCCAGTGCGTGTCGCTGTGTTGCTCATTTTGTTAAATATAAACCCAAACTTTTGGGATCAACAACCGTATCCTTGTCCAGCCTCTGAAGATCTCGGCCTGTTCTGTGAGATCCGCGATGACAGGAAAGCGTCAGGCGTCCTCAGCCATTTGTGTTTAAAAGAAGACACCACCTGCACGTACCTCCTTTTTTTTCCCCCCAGAGCAGCCAGAGAGGCAGGAGGGGCCCGCGTGCCCAAATGGCCACTGCTGCTACAGACGTGCAGGAAAGGGAAGTTTCATTGTGTTTTCTTCACAGCGCCTGTTGTGAATGGCAAGCTTACTCACGGCGTTGCTTTTCTTGCTGGTAACTTCAGGCCTGTACGCGCTGAAACAACTGTGACGGAGCTCAGTTAGTTTTTAAACTGCGGATTTTGCTCTTGGCGTGTTACACGTTCCCATATTTGTGTGCCTCCACCTGGAGGTGGAATAGCTATCTGTCCCCGTCCCGCTGTGTGAGGGCAAGCCACCGACAGCCCAGAGCCTGTGGCTGTGCGTTTTCTCTGCAGGTAGCTCCCAAGAATCGGTCCGTCGTGGTTTTCCAGTGCGTCTCTGCAAGCCGGTCGGAGCTTCTGTCTGCTGGAGCTGCTTGTGTCTGTTGTGCCCGCCAAGCGTGCGGTGAGCCGCCGGGCTGCCTGGCCCCTGGATCACACCGAGGCCTCGGTGCTGCTTTGAACCGAGCAATCAAAGGGGACTTTGTGCAAGTCCCCGTTTTCCCTCGTTAAAGCCTGTGGGGGTACGTCGTGGCAGCTGGAAAAACAGGAGGCTGAAGCAGCCCCACTTCAGGGCAGAAGATGAGCATAAGGCGGTGAAGGAAGCTGGGGTTTGTTCTTTTGGGTGTCCACCATCCTTCGTTTACTTTGTGTGCTGCAGGGTAATCTCGAAGCACGGTAGAGGGAAAGTTTATGTGTTAAGGGAGCTGGTGAACGTGGCAAATTGAGGGCTTTGATCTCACTGAAGTCATGAACCTGATGGTAACTGCAGCTCAGGAACTGTAGGGCCGCTGGCGTTGGGTCACTGATGGACATTCAGAGATGCAGCTTAAAATAAATAGGCATAAACACAAATAAGCTCCCTCTGCCATCACTCTCCTGTTGCAGAGGTTACTGCACTGTGGGGTTTGTACCTGTGATCACCACCCCACCGCGATGGCAGCAGGGTGATTGCCAGCACAAGACGGGGTGCCTGCTCATCTGTTTTTTTTTGTTGTTGCTGCGCTGGAAAGGTAACAGCAACAGCTTGTACAGGCAGGAAAAATCTGGTCAAAGATTAGTTTGCGACTGCTGGCCAAGAGGCACCCAGGAGACGTGGGGAGGACGTGGCTGCTGGAGCCCCTCATCCTCCATCCCTTGCTCCGGTGGCCCTGGGCAGATGTCTGAGGCACGTGTGTCTTTGTGCTTGTGGGCGTGGGAGGAGGAGCAGGTAAAATAAATAAGCTTCTTCAGACATTTTATGAATAAATGCCACCTCCCCCTTCTGTAAGATCACCCGCTGGGCTTTGCTATACTGGTTTCACGGGCATCACATGAGCAGGAAGAGCCAACTCTTGCCAGGAGAGCAGTATTTTTAACGTTACCAAAATGCCCTGGGAGCACGCCTCACCACAGGCTCCAGCGCAGAGGCCGTAGCTGCTCCCCACACCCCAGCCCTGAGGAGCCCAAACAGGTGCTGCTGGCGTATTTTGACTCGGGTCCCATGACGGAGCGCTGGATCCAGCAAACTGGAGCTGATTGCTGGTTGCCGGTTCCCTCAATTAGGAAGGCTTCCTGACTTTTGTTTAATCCCTCGCTTATTAATGGTGCTCACCTCTTTGATCAAAGACTTGCACTGATTTCAATTAGGGTTGAGCAAGAAGCCAGTGACAGGAAAGGCTGTATCAGGAGGAGCAACTGCTGTGCCCTGAAGGGTTTCCTCACCCTCGTGACCAGAATCTATAGTCGTAGGTGAAGAGTATTTATTGCCAACCAAGCTGGAGAAAACTCAAGTAATCCTCTGCTGGCAAAATAGCTCTGCCGACATAAAAGCAGGCGGTACTGACTGCCCGGTGAGCTCCAGTTCTTTGCATCTCAAGCACTGGGGAGGGACCAGGCCCTTCCTACAAAAGGGCGAAGCCAGGAGAAGATAAGCCTTGGCTTCACTTTTGGACAACGCTGACAAGTGAGATATTGCCGGGGTGAGTAGCTACACCTATGTCTGTCTTCGTTTTTTAATATCTGTGTCTCCATTAACTCTAACCGTGCCGGTTGTTGTCTCCAAGAGACACTGCAGAAGATGACTCTGTCTAGGTGAAGAATCACGAGATCAGGACAATCAAATTATCTGTGGAGTTCAATTTCTAGAGTAAGGAAAGCTGGGGCGGTCCCTCAAGGGAAATAAGCAACAAGCATAATTTGGGGAGTTGTGAAAAAAGGCGGGGAGTGATGGATTTACTAAATACAAAGCTACAGTAACAAACTCAGAGCTATTGTCTGAGCACATGCCTGTAGGTAACAGAAGACAAATACAATTATTTAAATACCGCATTAATATATGTGGTGCACTAATGCCTTGATATACTCTCCCAGCTACACTGTGTCGATAATAGCTAGGGACTGTAAAAAGAAGCGGTAGGAGTTGCATCAGAGGAGACCAAAGCAGTGGGAAAAGAGAGAGGAAGGCACCCTACCCTGCGGTGGACCGTCAGCCAGAGGTACAGGGGCACGTGGCCGCCTTTGGCCAACTTTACTGTAAACTTCTGCTTTGCAACACAGCAATGTTAGAAACAAAGTGCATGGCCAGGGCAGGCTCTTTACGTTGTGGAAATAGTTGAAAGAATAGCTGGCTGGCTAGGAACAAATACATGCACCTGCAACGGCAGGGTTGCGCCGCTCGTTGACAGCATCCACGAAGCCTTTGAGATGCGTCTCCTCCTCAAGTGACCAACCTCTGGAAAGGTAGACATGGGGGATGTTGAAATGGCGTGCCGAGGGTACAAAATACGATACCTGTGCTGGTAGTCCAGAAGTCAGCGGGGCAGGAATAAGAGGTGCTGCAAAACGCGGTGGGGGCGTCCCCAGAGCATTCGCAGCCACCTGAGCAAATGAGACGTGCTCTGGTGGTGTTTTCACGGCTGCCGCCCTGCCTAGCGCCAGTGACAGTCCAGCATCCCAGCTGCTCGCCAGGAAAGCAGCGTATGCTTTTTTTTTTTTCCTGAGTTGCAGCAAGGCAAATGCTTTGTCCCTCTGCGTGGTTTGATTTTACTTTGCCACAGCCTGTGGTGGGGAAGTCAGTCAAGTCACCAGAAGAAAAGAGCTGAATGGGAAATGTGGTTTTCTCCATCAAAATTCCTTTAGAAAAAATGCTTTGGGAAATACTTTGCAGAAAACAATATGAGCTTTTTTTTTTTTTTTTTTTTTTTTCCCTGCAGCTGAGAACCTGTTGCTTTTCTTTTAAAATGAAAGCAGTTAAAATGATCGTAAACCAGAATTTTCTTTTCAAACATGTCTTTCCAGCTGAAAATGCTGTAAAAAAAATTCACTTTGTTCTACATGAACCTCTCTTCAAAGCTATTTAGGTTAAAGGAAGGAAAGCAGAGAGTGATGTGCAAAATGTTGTGAGAGCAAGCAGAGACTGAGGGTTCGTGCTGAAATGAGATGGAACCGGTGGCTCAGGCTAGGAGGCCAAGGAAGGCTGAGAAGGTCCTCAAGGCGCCACAACCTCTTTGCTTGTAATATGGCAACTTTGGCAGGAGTTTGACTTGGAAATATTACTGGCTTTTTCACTAGCAATGTTTGAATCTGTCTCTGGCTTAGGGCTGTAATTTTTTAATCTCCAAATTTGGATTGATGGTGACTATGATAGGATAATACTAGGTCTATCTTGGCTATTTGCTTATCTGGGAAAAATGTACATCCCATGAATCATTTGATCAAATTAAAATGCTCATTAAAGTCTTGCATGAATAAAGAAATGCACTGCTCTTGCATGCTGGTTTGGCGCTGATTTCTCCCAGGTATTTTCTTCTGCCCTTGCCGAGTGTGGTGGGGGCAGTGACTGCCAGCAGCAACCTGCCTCCTGCCTCCCCCCTTGCTGCGGCAGGCAGGACCCCGAGAGGTGCCCTGTCGCCGAAACGCTGGTGGTGGCTCTGACCCGCTGCCCACCTTGGACTCTGTCCCCACAGCAAGCCTGCCCTTGTCCCCACCTTGCCGGACCAGCCGCCTGGGGGGACCCACCATCACCTACCTCTGCTGAGCAGGGCTGGGTGGGAAAAGGCACTCGGCATCTTCCACCTTTGCCTTCCACAGAGAAAAAATTGGCAAACGCCAAAGAAGGAAAAAAAGTCTTAAAAGCCGAGCAAGGTGTTGCTGTTCTGCAGCATCTGTGGCACTCGCTGAGGCTCCTTGGCCAAAGCCCTTCCCCGGGCGTACTGCGAGCAGCAGCTTGCAGCTCTCTGCCGAGGTGGGGATCGGGCTTTGCGTGTTTGGGGTGAGGAGCCCTGCGAGGGGAGCGGGTGATTTTGCACCCAAGACAGTTGTGGCACAGCTGGGACTAGGAGCCAAGTCTTAATGATGCTAATAGGCCTTAATCACAAGAATGGTTTTTTCCTTATTGTTCAAAGTGACTTGTACTACAAACCCTTCCCCTGTATCTTTTATTAACCTCCCTTTTTTGTCACCCGAGATGTTCATTTGCCCCTGAATTTGGGAAGACTGCGCTAGCCCTTGGGGCAACCGAATGGTGCAACATCTCAGTTTCCCTCTCCCGCTCTCATGACATGAGCAAAATACTGAGCAAGGATTTTTCCCTATCACATGTTCTGCTGCTGGCACCACGAACCAGGCCATTCAGAAGGGCTTTGGTCCGTGCCTCATCATTCATGTGACTGCTGACTGAAAACAAAATGCAAAAGGTGACCTGCTCGGTGCAGATAACATCAACTATTGCACATTTTTAATCGTCGCTGAAAACAGCAGCCGGTTTCATTGGACCAGCGCTGGAAAAGAGACAACAACCCAGGTCTTGCAATACTTTCCTCAGCAGGTGTGTTGATGTGATGAACTGCAGAGTTTTGCATAGATGTCCTCCAGCTTGGTATAAATATTCAGCTGTTTGACCGAGGGAAAAGGGTTCTTAAAATTCTGATTGTTTCACCGTATGCACATTAGAAGCTTTAGCTGTCTACCTGCTTATTCAAAGCTTCAGCTTGAATTTAAAAATGAAATGATGTATGCTTGCGTGGAGGAGAGAGGGAGAGAAAAGGCAAAGCAGCCAGTCATTTATTTGTGCTTTACCTGTATCTTAGGGGTACTGAAATGACAAATTTTTGTCCAGATCATTTGAAAAGGGATGCAAACTGAGGATTAGAAAGGATATTTTCAAATAGCTACCAGAAAGGGGTTTAGTTTTTAGAGCAGATGGGATGTTTTTACATTAGTTTTTCATTCCTAGCAGGGAATTTTTCTTATTGTCTCCAAATTCTGGTATCTTTAAACAGTATGACTTGGAAAATGTTGCAGTGACATCCTTCACCCCTTAGTGTCCATAAGGGGTTTAGGCATGAGTCCAGGAGGCTGGAATGCCAACAAAATGTTGTGGAGAGGATATAGGCAGGGTGAAGGTAATGTTTTTATCTGCAGGGATTTTGTTTGAGGAGAATATAGCAGGATTTGGTGCTCTCTGCTTGGAATTGCTCTTTTTATCCCTGCACACTCATCTCTGATGGGCCAGTGCGATGCCAAGCAGGGTGCAAGGTGCTGCACGAAAAGGTGCCAGGTGGCAGGATGCCTGGGGAGTGATGAAGCTGGGATGTTTTGAACAAGGCTTTTGGGGCTCATTTCCTCATTTTTCCCTCTGAGATGCTGTATTTTGTGAAACACTGCTGCTACGTTGCTCCGTGGGATGCCGGCAGGGAGGATGTAGCAGGAGGTGGACCACCAGGCATGAGGGGGACTGGAGGCTGCACCCCTGCCAGCTTGTGGGGACTCTTTTGGAGGGCAGTGCTGCCTCTGATCTCGTGTTAAACCCCTTCATGTTAAAAGCCTGCATTTTCAGCTGCTTGTACAAATTAGTGAAACCTCAGCCAGCAAGGCACAAATCTTCCCTCCCCATTGCCCTCTTCTTAAAAACACGGGGGAAATTGGAGCCAAAATATTCAGCTGTTTGGGAAAAAACCCTGCAGCTGGAGGGACACATGGGAGCTATTTCTTTGGTGGAGGGGAGAGACGCTGAGGCTGGATGTGCAGCTCTGGAAGGCAGACACATGCTGAGGCGCTGTGGGACAGGGCAGGTCTCCACAGCATTGCCGGGGGGGGTAGGGGGGCATGAGTGGGGTAAGCAGGCAGCTGGTGCAGGCAGGTTGGTTTCTCCTTTGCCTGTGGCTTGTGAAACAGCTGGCAATGGCATGATTACGTACTCCTCATGAGGCGTGCTGGACGGGTCCCTGAATCGGTATTTCACCATGGCTTGTCTACCAGCCCCCTGTCTCGTTGCTGCAGAAGCTGGAGAAGGGGCAGTAAATGAAACGGGAGCTGGTGGGAACAGAAAGGTTTAATAAGGCTCGGTTGGGTCACTGAAACAACTGATGAGAGAAATACATGCTGGCTGCTGCAGATCTGGAGACTTTCTGCCTTCTCTGGTCCCAAATACGGCAGCCACATGACACAGGACTTTAACCCAAGAGAAACTCACTCCTCCAGCTTGAGCATGACTTAGCAGGTTTTAGGAGGTTTTGCTGGCATCTTGTGTATCCTCATTTACACTTTAGAGTGATGCTGTTTGCCCGTGTGGAGCAGCTTGCTGCCTGGCCTCTTGGGGCCATTTTTCTTGGAAGGGAGAATCCCAAATACGGCAGCCACATGACACAGGACTTTAACCCAAGAGAAACTCACTCCTCCAGCTTGAGCATGACTTAGCAGGTTTTAGGAGGTTTTGCTGGCATCTTGTGTATCCTCATTTACACTTTAGAGTGATGCTGTTTGCCCGTGTGGAGCAGCTTGCTGCCTGGCCTCTTGGGGCCATTTTTCTTGGAAGGGAGAATCATAGAATGATTAGGTCGGAGTAGACCTCTGAGATAATGAAGTCCAACCATTGATCTAACACCAACCACCACGCCCACTAAACCATGTCCCGAAGTGCCATATATACATGGTTTTTGAACACCTTCAGGGATGGTGACTCCACCACTTCCCTGGGCAGCCTGTTCCAATGTTTGACCACTCTTCCAGTAAAGAAATTTTTCCTAATGTCCAATCTAAACTTTCCCTGGTGCAATCTGAGGCCATTTCCTCTTGTCCTATCACTTGTATATATTTGGTAAATGGATTGTTTGGACCTTACCTTGGCTGTGTGACTCCTTATCCTGCACGCCTGGCGCCTGGGAGCAGGGAAGATCCTGGGTCCCCAGCCCAGCCCTGGCATTCCCACTCACGGTGGTTACTGTCTCCTTCCCATGTACTTTGAAGCACATTAGTGCTAATTAATTACCTGTAAACCTTATCACCAGCTCACCTACTAGAAAACAATGCCTGCTTGAAGACAGTAATCCCTAGGAATCATGTTATGTCAGGAACTGGCTGCCTCCCAAGAAATATCTCTCCAATCTGTGGAAAAAATGTGCTGAGGCCGGTGGGTGCAGCAGCGACGGCTCCATCAGTGGTGACTGAGGCAGCAAATTGGCCACTTTCTTTTGTAAGAGCTGAACGGTGGAGGCCATTGCTCACATCCCCCCCTGCAGCAGGGGCAGGCCAGGCCCAGGGGCCGAGCTGCCTGTTTTGGAGGGCGTCAGTGGGCTCTGAACACAAATGTGAGGGACTGGGCACCCTGGTGGGGGAGTGGCTGGTATCCCTGTGGGCACCCTCCTGCAATGGGGATGGGGGGACAGGGCAGCCAGGGCATGAACACCCCCTGGCAGGAGCAGGAGCCCAGGATGGGAGCTTCACAGGCAGCTTTTCCCCCAAACCAGCAACTGGTGTAATTACACCCCACAGCCTGGCACAGGGTGAAATTCAGAGTCTGTGGCAGGGGTTGGAGCGGTGGCTAGGGTGGTGAGGGGGCAAATGAAGATGAAATGCTTGGATGGAAAACAAAGCAGCAACATTTCAAATGCAGGAGCCTTCCCCGGTGTTTCTATATTCACACAGACTCGTTGCGGGAACAGGCACTTGGTCTGCAGTGGCCTCGGTGGCAATCTGCAGTCAGTGTTATGGTTATGGGTACACACATATATATAAGGAGCAAGTCAATGTGTTGCAGCAATCACCAGATTTAGGATTTTAGGATATTGCTTAGAAATCCCATTACTTTTACCATCTTGATTTGAATATCAAGAATTCTAATTAGTGGATATTAGTAGGAGAGACTAATGGCTGCACTGGGAAGATAAGTTTCAAATGGAATAAATGATCAAATATAAAATAAAGTCTGTGTTGCCAATGCTGCTAGCATACCCCTGTAAAATTCCAGACCTAAGGTATTCATTAACCAATAATCTGTTAGTGGTTAGAAACAAGGATAATGTGTTGTAGTGCAAGATCTCTGCTAGACAGGATTTGTTATAGTACCCATTGTGTATAATCTTTGAATCATGACCAAAGTAGGTACGAGCCAAGAGCCTAAGAGCCAAGGGCATGTTCCTTGATGATACATGGCCAGTTCGAGGAGTGGTCGAGACCTCCGACTCACAGACCACTTGCCCAAATTACACCACCTACTCAAAAGAGAACAATAGAAGACTACGACAGAGGCTGCGCAATAATTTGCATCAGAAGTGAGAAAAGAAGAACCAATCATGGAGAAGATGATAATAAATATGCATTGTATAGACTGTATATGTGTGAATTTAATATATAAATATTTGTTGATTGCAATGTGCAGGCGGACATCTTTGGGAAGGATCCCATGTCCCCGGTGTGCATCATTAATAAAGGACATCTCTACTTATCTAACTTTGTGTAGATAAGTTTTTCTTACTACTGCAGATTTGCAACAAATGCATCTGTGTTAATAAGGGAGAGCCTTGTTTTTCCACAAAGAGGCTTCTGACTCATCAGTGCTGCTGCTCACTGGTCCCTCCCTATGGTCTGGGGCACTCAGGATCATGGATCTCCAGCCGACAGCGTCGTCCCGGCTCAGGGCTGTGTCCCCAGCAGGTGGCTCATCAGCAGCTCTGGTTTAAAGTCTCTCACCTTGGGAAGGTTTGCTAAGGAGGACCCTTGGCTCCTTGAGGTCAGTTCCAGACATGAGGCCTTGGAAATGTCACAGGAACCTCCTAAATTACTTGGTCATGTGAGATTTGGAGGGTTTTGCCATTTACAGACTTTGCTTTTAAGCATTGTAAATGAAAAATTCACACAACGAGAGCTTTTCGTTAAATCTGTTATCAACTCTCTTCCCCTCAGATCATGTCCTCCTCCATCAAAATTGAATCTGTTGTGAAGGAGAAGACCAGGATGGGAGAGTGCCCGGTTTGGGAAGAAAGGGAGAGCGCACTCGTCTATGTAGACATTAACTCACAGAAAGTTTGCCGCTGGAGCACACTCACCAACGAGGTGCAGAGCGTGTCTGTGGGTAAGGGTCCGTACTCACCACTTCATCCTGGGAATCTTCTCTGTCCACCCCTGACCATCCCTCCCGGTAGGAGTCCCTCAGCAGGGTGGTCTCCCTTACTTCCCATGCAGCCATATGCCCTGTCCTCCCATGGCGTGTTGCTGAGCATGGTGCAGCTCAAGCCAGCCGAGCAGAGGGGACTGTGCTCAGGTGTGGAGGGTCATGCACGTGCTGCCCTTGCTAAGCCCAAATGGGAAGGCGTGTTTCATTTGGGACCTGCAGAGGAAAAGATATGGTCCTAATGGCCATATCTGCCCAGAAGGTGGAAAGATCTGGAAAACATAGAGCCAGCAAGATGTGCTAACAATCCCAGGGGAGAAGGATCTTAGCATTGGCTCAGCCTTTCCTGGGTCAGGGATATCCCGATCAAGCCCAGATGCCCTCGGTGAGGTGGGGAGGGGTAGGGCTGACTGATGACCCCAGAGCCATCTGCCATCTCCCACTCCCTCTTTTCCACAGATGCCCGTGTTGGCTCGGTGGCACTGCGACAGTGCGGGGGCTACGTCATAGCCCTGGGGACCAGGTTTGCCTTTCTGGACTGGGACACCCAGGTGGTCACCACCATCCTCGAGCTCGAGCAGGATAAACCAAACAACCGGTTCAATGATGGGAAAGTGGATCCAAAGGGGAGGTTTTTTGCTGGTAAGTTCCTGGCAGAAATTTCCCCTGGAGAAAAGAGGAACTAATTGCAGTGCATTTTATCTACTGCATTTTATTCCATGTTCTCGATTCCTCTGTTAAGTACCCCACAAAAAACACTGTTGAGAGCATGAGCTGTCTTGTGAATACTCTGCTCGGTTACTGCCTGAGGGAGGAGAATAAGGGACACCACATCCTCCAACCTAAATGAGGACAGAGGCTGTTGACAAGTGCCCTCTGGCAGGAAGGCTCCCCTTCTACTTGGTGGATGGTGGTTTTCAAACATCTGTCTCCACAAGGTGTGAAAAGCTGGTGAAGGGCTCATGCAGGTGGGAAGGTTTCTGGAAGTGTAGAGGAGGATACAGCTTCTAGAGCAGATGAGCTGCAGCTTGCACCCTTCATGTACAGCCTCCTCTGGTTAACCTGTGGGAAACTCTGATGTGAGACGAGATCTTTGGCCTCCTGAAGGCGAGAAGGAGCCAGGATCCACTGGTGCTTTTTCTACTCCTGTATAAATGATGAACCAAGCACAGCAATCCACGCTGGAAGCGAAGAGCGACTAATGGGAGTGGAAACGGCTTTGTGTTTGTTTTGCCAGTCAGCCTTTTCTTGTTTCAAATATGCCAAAAATCAGGAAATTTGTTTGGCTCATAGTTATGCTCAAGGGCTGACATGTCACTAGAGTTAAGAGCAAGAAGAAGAGAGAAACACCTGCTTTGCACACCCGTTCCTAGCTGTGCATGGTGTATCAATGCTTTCAACAGGGGTTTTGACCAAGAGTTGTAAAACAAGCTCATGAGGTCTTCCGAAAGGGGAAGCCAACAGAGACAGCCTCTGCAAAAAGAAGGTGTACATACCCCTCTTGAGTACTTCCCATCCTGTTGTTGAAGAGCTCTCTCCTTTCCAGGTAACAGAGAATCAGAAACTAAATAACAAGTGAAACACTGAGGCATAAATTCATTAAGAAAATAATCTCACGTCTGTGGTATTCTCCATTTGTTTCCAAGATAACCAAGATTTACAGCATCTGTATTTTAAGGTCACAGCCCATTTAGACGATAAGAGTAGCCTATGAAGAGGAACAACAAAAAGAATACACAATGCTTGCTTGCCTGCACCTTGGTTTTTGCTATGAGCAAAAGCTCAGCCCCTGGCACCGTTGATGCTCCTTTGGGTCTTTGGTGTCTATGACTTAAACTTTATGGCAAAGCAGAAACCTGCCCTTCCATTGGCTGTGGGAGGCAGCTGCCCCTGACCTGCTCCTTTTCCTCCTTCTCATCAATCTGACGGGACCTGGGTAGTCCCTTTCTCCCTAGGACCACTTAGTAACACTTAGAGGATGTTTTTGATAAAGCATGAGGAACAAGCTCCTGCTTTCTAGCACGTGCTCCCACTTCTCTTTCAGGTACGATGGCTGAAGAGACAGCACCAGGGGTCCGAGCGAGGCGGCAAGGCGCTCTCTATACCCTTTTCCCTGACCATTCAGTAATAAAACAGTTAGACCACGTGGACATCTCCAATGGTCTGGATTGGTCCCTGGACCACAGGACCTTCTTTCACATCGACAGCCTGGCATACGCTGTGCATGCCTTCAGCTATGATGTGCACACTGGAATGATCGGTACACGTGCTTTTCTGAATTCGGTGACAATAGCGCTATTACTTTTTCTGCAGCCAGACCTGGGCATATAAGATGCAGTGATTTACTGAAAAGATCTCGCATCTTCTGGTTACAGCTTGCCAGCAGGCTGACTGTAATTTTTCACAATGTAGTTACACACCGGGTGTATTTGGTGGACAAACCTTTGACAATCCTTCAACTTACTTTCATCCAGATAGATGGCTCATGTTTAGACCTGTTCAAGGAGTTGCACGGAGGAACTGCAGAGTTATACTGCTAGCTCATAGGATGCTATTTATTCTTGAGTGCCATCTACTGGAATGCTTGTATATCACAGAAAGTTATATAAAAGACTCAAGTTATCATTGCAACTGAGGTTTACAAATTCTGTATTTAAAATCACCTTCAGATGTTTGGCAAATCTCACTTAAATTCATTTTCTGGACAAATGTTTTTTACTCTATCTGCAAAAAGGAAAATTTAAGAGCAAGCGAAATGGATGTAAAGTCATTTCTGAAACTGTGAAATATTTTTATGCTGTATCAACCTGTTATACTGCATGAGAATTTAAATGGCTGAACTGCCTTCTACTCTAATGAGTGTGGACTTTGTGTAATCCTGAGTGAAAATCGTACAAAATAATTACATTCACTCAGATTTTATTTTGCTGAGAAAAATCTCTACAGATTGTAGGTTACAAGATTCCTAAAGAAGATTTACACAAATTTTTCCTCCCTCCAAATACAAAAATATAATGAGTTTGAGCTTTCTTGCCTTGCCTTTATGCTCATGACTCTCTATTTTTGGGTGGTGTAATGGCCATAAGGCAGTGGGTCAGAGCAGGCAGACTACTGCCCATGGGCGTTGCTCCATGGGCTGCGCACTTGCCCACCAACCCATCTGCACCTGTGCAACCAATAGCAGTTGGTGTCCAGGCTTAATCAAAACTGGCAACTTGGTTGGCCATTAAAAAGTAAAGTTCCTGATCTTTAGCTGGCAGAGATTGCTTATCACCAGCATTTAAACCCAAGTCAGTATTTATGTGTGGCATTGCTCATCAAAAGACACCCAGGCTGCCATGAGCAATGAAAGTCCAGGAGTAGTTATTGCACTTGCAGCAGTCGTGGTATGGCGGGCAGCTAGTGGGTTAACAAGAGTGACAGGGGCATTTTGTTCTCTTCCCCTGGTAAAATAATAGGAGCCCTAAATCAGTGTAACCCCAAACTGCAATGGCTCTGCTGCTGGTAAAATAATAGGAGCCCTAAATCAGTGTTTAAAAGCCCCAAACTGCAATGGCTCTGCTGGGGCTTTTTTCTGCCAGGCTAAGTTAGGCTTCTAACACATCTGTGAAATGCATGTGATACACATGTTGCAGCACGTCTTTCTCACAGAAAATGAACATACCTGTTTGCAAGAGCGTGGAAGATGTTAGACTGGGATCTGATACAGAAGCCCACGTAACGCCGGCTTCCTAACTCTCCCTGCAGCCTGCCCCAGACTTTTGTACCATCTAGAAAAGGAGGAGCAAATGCCTGACGGGATGTGCATAGACGCAGAAGGGAAGCTCTGGGTGGCCTGTATTGATGGCGGGAGAGTCATTCGTATAGACCCAGAGACAGGTAAGGCCTCCGCCGGCGTGTGCATATTGAGTGCCACCTACATGCCATGGGCGTGAGTGGAAAGGCAGCCAGGAGGAATGGTTTGAAGGTGAGATAAGAAAGTGTCGTTTATTGCCTGTTTCTGCCCCATGAGTTGCCATGAGCATCGTGTGCTGTGAGCTCCCTGTGCTATCTCCCAACGTCAGGTACCCCTGCTCCCACGGTCTGCTGATGCAGCACACCCACTTAAAAACTCCGCTAAAAAGAAAAAAATGCATTGCCTATCTATCGCAAGACGTGTTATAAAGGTGCAATTAAAAAAGAAAAAATTCTCAGCATTGACATGTTTAACTGGGAAATGCTGTTAGGGAATGACGGCCATCCCAGGCCAGGTGTCTCTGCCCTTCCTGGCCTCACATATCGTATTGCTTCATTCTGAAGGAAGGAAACAAAGCCTCACAGATGTAGGGCAGAGGCTGAAAAATAGTTAGAGATGAGGCAGATGAAAGAATTTGATTTCCTTACAAATTGTCCTTTAGGATATGGCCTCTGTCTAAAGGGGAGATGCCTTCTGAGTAAATGCCACGTCTGTGCCATGCACACTAATGGTACATTCATATTTACATGCTTCCTAGAAAATGGACATTAGGAAACAATTGCACATTTTTCCCAGGAAAAAGAATCCAAACTGTGATGCTGCCTACTCCAAGGATCACCTCTTGCTGCTTTGGTGGAAAAGACTACTCAGAAATGTATGTGACTTCTGCGTACGATGGACTGGATGAGACCACCTTAGCCAAGGAACCTCATGCGGGAGAAATTTTCAAGGTAAGCAGATTTTCTTTCTCTCTATATATCAGACCTGCCAAGCCTCACACTGAGAGTGAGGTGCCCCCGGCTGCCCTTGCTCATCCTGCTCACCTGACCTGCTGGTTCAGATGCGTTGCTTTTGCACAGCTGCTCATGCATTTGGAAGGAAATTCTGGAGAAATTGCCAGTAATAGTGTTGGTACGTTGGTCAGCCGAAGTTGGTATCCAGTTGGGATCTGAAGGCAGCCAGTAGATCTTGATTCTGCCCTGTATAGCGTATTCTGTAATACACTGTAAAGAATTTGGTCTTGCTACTCCTATCTCTTACTATGTTTTCATCTGTTTTGGAAATTTCAGTCCTTTAGTTCTCAGCTTTTAATTGTGCCAGGAAATGTAAATGTTTACCGCACAGATTGCTGCTTTAAAAATTAAATGCTTAAATATACCAGGGCAAAATTTTGCATCCCAATCCCAAAACTTTGGGGATTTTTTTGCTCTCTTAAGAGTGGTTGCTACATTTTGAGAAACTGAAAATCCATATTTTTGTCAAGGGCTCTTGAATCCAAAACTTGTTACTCTCCATTTTTCAGTACATTAGCAAAAAACACAGCAGGAGTGTAAAACGCAGTTCTTAATCAGCAATTGCCATCATTCCCTGAAAGTTGACCACAGCTTGAAAGAGAAGGGTTCTAAATGAGCAAATGAGGGGAAATAAAAAAAAAAGCCCCAAACCAAACTGTATTATCAGTTTGGCAATCGGATGAAGACATGTTCCAGGAGGGATAGAGATCTAGTCTGGGATCTGGGACCTTCTAGTTGAAAGCAGTGCTTGGAACAGATTTCTCATGGCTGAGAACTGATAGATTTCTCAAGCAGCATAGTTTAGGAGACCACAGAGAAATTAAATGAGCCTCATCTTTTTTATCTCTGTTCCTCGATTCTGCAGTTCTAGAAGGGAATCGATATTTTCCAAGCTCACATTTGCCTTGCAGGGGCAAAAGTTACCATGACTTGTTTGGTTAATAGGGAGATCAGGACCATAGGTTAAGGGTCACAGATAATGTACAGACTAGTAATATTATTGAGTGGTGCTTGCTAATCTTAAGGATCTTAAAGAGTTCTAAAGAACTCCATGTAATGGCTCTTTTTGGTTTTGGCCTCCTCTTGAAGCAGGGGACCCTCCATGTAGGGGCAGGTTGCTATGATATTTGTTATACAACATTTGCATGTTTTCATTGTATTCAGTCAGAGATTCAGCTGTTTCCTTTCTTTCATTTATTTATTTTTTTTAAAACAGATAACAGGTCTGGGTGTGAAAGGGATCCCACAGAATTTCTTTGCTGCTTGAACATTGACACAACAAAGAAGAAATGTTTGCATCTTGTAGTAACTCTGACAAGGAGAAGTCCAATGAACTACAGAATTTTTCTGTGTGAGGATTTTGAAACCTACATTTGAGAGTGTGCTTGTTTGGAACTGGAGATATTCCTTCTTCTGTGGGCCCATTGCTTGATGGAATAGGTTAGAGATGTAAAGTTAATCTGTGTTACACCTTGAGAGCTTTTGTAATTTTCCATAAAACTCTTCAAACTTGAGGTTAGTTTTGTTGAACTTTCTGATGACCAGCTCTGGATTTTCAAGTCTGTGTGGTACCCAAGGCAGAATCTGACTCCTGGTTTATCTTCTCATGTTTCAGTGATGTACCAGCAACAATATGGTAGATTTTAATAAATATTTTAATAGTGGTGACTTGAACTGGACTGCTCCTCTGCGGTGGGACTCCCCCTGAGGTGTTTTCTTGGTGATCAGATCTATTTGTAGCATCCAGACTCCATTTTCACATCCTTGCTAGCCTGATTCCATTTGCCTTGTCATGAATTCTTCTGTCTCATCTTTAGGACACCGTTTATGCTGCTGAAAATAAACTATGCAGACATATTTAAAATATGCTTACGGATTTTTTTTTTCCTGCATTCAGATATTACCATGAAAATGCTGAGTGACCACACACCGTCAGGGTACAAACAGGCTGTGAGCTACCAGGATGGCCTGTGATACCAAAACCAGATGATCCATAGAGTTGTCCTGTCAGGGGTCATAGACGCACTCGTACACAGAGACTTTCCTTTGCTTTACGTATCTTCTTATTGCATGCATGGCTTCACCTTCTTATTTCCCTTCTTATAATGCTCTTCCTCTCCTATTTCAAGGATTTTCCTCCTTTTTCCCTCTTCCCTTTAGTTTGTCTTGTTCTTCTCTTTTCTCTCTTCTCTTCTCTTCTCTTCTCTTCTCTTCTCTTCTCTCCTCTTCTCTCCTCTCCTCGCCTCGCCCCCCCTCTCCTCTCCTCTCCTCTCCTCTCCTCTCCTCTCCTCTCCTCTCCGTTACCCTCACCTCCTCTTTCTTCTCTGGGAGAGCAAATCTGGCCTATCAACATTTCTACCTCTGCCCAAACTGTTCAGGGCTTTCTCCCACACCCAAGACTACACCAAAGCTGACTCCTGAATTTGGGGTTTCCCCAAAGGCCTCAGCATACCTGCAGCGAGCCAGATTTCATCCAAAAGCTGGCCAGACTGAGGGGGTGAGCGATGGAAGTAGCAAAGTTGTTCAGTTCTTCCCCTTGCTTCTACTGCATAATCTGCAGACAGGGCAGAGATAGCATCTTGCTTGTAAGTAAATGGACAGCATTTTGGAAAATGCTGGCAGAGGAGCCTATGTAAAAAGAGACAGTGCTGTGGAGGGGGTCTCTCAGTGTTCCCTGGCTTTGTGTAAACCTGGGCCCCAACAAGGCCACCCTTGTCTCCTACAACTCCATGGCCTTCAGTTCATTTCTTAGCAAACAGGGGCTGATTATACCCCAGTGCTGTGGAGAGCACAATGTCAAAATATATTTTTAGAGGCTATTTAAATAATAACCTAACACTATGCTGGATTCGCTGAACCATTGTGAACCTTTCATTGTATGAGAATGCTCGTGACCTGCAGTGAAATCTAGCCTTTGCATTGAATTTGCTATCCTTTTACTGCCTGGAAAGACACACAGCACATAATACATTTTCAGATCCTTAATGCTGACACTTTGTGATGTTACAAAGTCAGTAATACTCATCATTTACCAGACCAGATGTTTCAGTGTCTTTCTCTGAGGTATTTTGCCCTTTCCACCACTGCTATTCAAAGCCTTGAGTTAGCCATCAGACACTACAAGCAGGGAATAAGTACTCGACGCCTCACGAGGATAATCTCCCACAATAACCCACGCATATAGGAGCAGAGAACCTGTGGTTAGCCATGCAGAAATGTTAAACACAGCTTCCATGCGGCTGTATGCAGATTGCCCCTAGAACTAGCTGTTTCTTCCAGAATCAGCATCCTTCTCCTGGCCAGGGGTCCCTCATAGCAGTTTTGAATGAAGTTGGGTTAATTTCTTCCTTTTAAAACACCTATGATGCTCAACTCTCTTACATGGTAGTCTTCTGGCATGCTGCCAAGCAGGAGATCTGGTTCTGTGCTCTGAGCAGGCAGAGGGCAGGTCAAACCACATGTCTCAGGACAGTGTCCTACCCATTTCGAAGGGGCATGTGACATGGGGAAGGTTAGGTGGCATATTTGGCCGCTCCAGTTGAACTGGGCCACAGACCAGAGAGAAATTTGAGATCCAGGGGGCCAAGAAGGGAGATTTATTCACTAAGCACTATTGGCCATTGAACACGATTTCAATGCAGTTACCTGAAGTCTACTGTAAAACCCATGTTAGTACTTTTTGGACTCTTATTTTAGATGATTACTTCAGGTCATTAGCAAGCACTTTGCTCCTACGCTGCTTGACCAGCTAATTGGTAAAACAGGATAAAGCTCTTGCCCTATTGCTCTGCTTCACTCCTACCTTGTCCTGGAAGGAAGATGAGTCCATAGAGCTGCACAAAGACAACTTGACTGACAAATAAAGTGCTCACCTCATTCTAATGTTTGCTCAACAACTGGGCTGTTGTTTTTTTCCCTAGTTATAATTCCAACAGTAATTAAGCTGCTGGGGGTTCTTAAAAGCAAAGGTGTTAAATGCCCTTTGGCACCATGTCAATGCCAAACTGGTACAAGGAACATGGACAATCATGCAATATTTCCTGTTTACCCCATCTGGAGAGGAATGTGAAGGCAGGATGTTTGGAAGCAAGTCAAATGTCCCAACCTTTAATTAAAAAAAACTGTAAGAAGTGTGTGCAGATACATTATTTAATAAAAAATTACACAATTATTTGCAGAATGGGTTATCCACTAGGCTATTTGCTCTGCCAGAAAAGGAGAGTAGATAGTTTTGAAACAATCTGCTCTTGAGAAAGCCTTAATACCCTCATATTTTTTTTCTAGCACTTCCCTAGGCATGGAAGCCAGGCTCACTGGTTTGTAATTCTCCAGCCACTCCTTCCTTCATCTCTAAAGTGAGACACTGTGCGTGCTGCTCTCAGACTCCAAGGTCTGAGTGCTTTGGGATCTCTCTCGTTACAGCATGGCATTCCAAACTGAAGACAAGTTTGAAGATGGATTTCTCTCTGTTACCCAAAGGCCCACTACTTAATTTCTATTCAGATTTCAGAAGTTGCTGTTTTGTGATTTTGCTTCCTAAAAAAAAAGTTCTAATTGAAAACCACAGTGGGACTATTCTCCAGCCTCATTAGCCAAAGTGAGGCAAAGGCCCTTTGCATTGGGCAGGACAAAGGTATGAAGGAAGGGGCTGTGGGACTGGGTTCATTCCCTTTGTGAATGTAGGGATAAATAAGGTGTATATAGTCCTTGGTGAGGATACACTCCGAGATGGTTACTGGGTGACTGAGTATGTGGTTGGTGTGGGTCAGTCCCACACAGTGAGAAGCACAGCAGGGGGGATGCTGCCTGCCCAGGAGTAACCCGCTGATGGACGATCTCCCAAACGTGGGTAACAGGCAGCACATAAAATACACTATCAATAAGACAGCTGACGGGAGCTGGCTTCCCTTGTAAGTGGAATGTAAGCCTACAGGTCCAGGGACACTGGGGCTGCAAAAGGCATGCCAAAGGGAGCACGATTCTGCACCAACATTGCTTCCTCCACACCTTTCTTTGTCATCTGGGCCACCCATGGTGCTGGGGACTTCATCCCATGTGCTCTGCACCTCCTGCCTTTTGTAAGATTTTCTGAGTGTTTACTAGTTTTAATGTATATTTAACATATACCAGGCTGGATGGATCTTCTTTTGTATGCTTTTTTGTTGTTGTTTTGGAAATAGAAGCAATCAAGGTTCAATATTTCGTTCCTTGTGTTTTCTAGCTCTTGTTGGACAACCTGACTGCCTTTCCTTGTCCTGCCGAAAAAACACGTCTTCTTTGAGAAAACATGTTAAATCTCAACCGGGGGTCTCTAATTATTCATACATGCAGCCAGGATGTGAATGAAGGTGGTGAAACATCACAGCTCTGCTGGCATTGGTGCTGGTCCCGCGTGGTGTCACAAGCCTGGAACTGGCAAATACAGGGATATAGGGTTTGCTTCACTGGCTTTTACAGTCGCACTTAGGATTCTGGGCAGGAAAGAAGATGTAAAAATATTTCTTATTCCTGGATAAGGACACAAAATTATTTTTCTAGCAATCTTTGTTTATCTATTTCTTGTTCTGATTATCTACTTTGTCTTAGAGAGAAACTCTAAAGATGGTCTCTTTGCTAATAAGAGAGGGGATAGACAGAAAGTAGCTGACTTCAAGTAAAAAGTTCACAAGTGCTACCTACTGTGGGTAATATGTCCCTGAAGAACAAAGAGGTAGCTGCCCTGCTGAAATGACCTGGCTTTGCATAGCATGTTTTTTTTTACCTTGACCTTATCATACTCCATACTCATGTCAGTATCAAACTTACAAACATAACTTTGAATCCAGATCTTTGCTACCTTCTTAATGTTATGTCTCTGTGTCAATGTGGACTGAGATTTCACATTATCTAAAAAGAAGAGACATTGAACTCTGAATCTCTATTCACATGAAAACACTCTTGGAAAATGAGAAGCCACTTGCCCTATGAACTATTAACAGGACTACTGGATGACCTGCAGAGTGACTTTTTGTTCAGCAGATGGGTCTGACTGGGAAAACAGCTGCAGGAGCAAGAGTATCTCCTAGGGAGGTGTATGAGCAGGAATTGGGTGGCTGCAAAAAATGGCTGAAGGATGGAATTAATTGTAGATTAATTTATTTTGTCTAAGACTGTAGATTGCTTGAGCTGCTTGAAGTACTGGTTTATTGACTTTGTTTGTGCTGCATGTTGCAGTGTTGATAACCAGAATGTCAAAGAAATGGTGTTGTCAGTTTCTCCTCCTCCACCAAAATAAGACTTATGTGAGCTGTAAATGTAAGCACTGGTAACATCTGAGGAAGGATAAGACCCTCATCCTCATCAGCTGATATCTTCTTAAAGAAGAAATTGTTCAACTCTGTGTTTAGCAGTACCCAAGTCATGTTAGGGAAGAGAGGATGTGGGTGAATAGCCTGTCAAGACTGGTGTCTTCTGGAAAGTGCTCATACCACAGCACTGTTATAATGGAAGGATTTTAAGATGAAGGAAAAGAGAAAGAGCTATCAGAGATGAGACTTAACATGGAAGTGAAAGTAATGACCAAGGGAAAAGTGAAGGCACAGAGAGGGGAAGGACGTGTTGGCAGGTGTGGGAAAAGGCAAGTGACAGGAAGGTGGACTCCGTAATTTGGAAGTAAGGCTTAAACTGGAAAACTC